GTATTATAGGGAATTTAGACCAACACCCACCTGAAACCCCCAATCAAACTCGCGGTCTCTACTCCCCACAACTTCTTAATCAGTGGGACGCATGTGCAGCGGCAAATGCATTCCTGCGCAAGCTCTTGCAAACAAGATAGATAACATGCACCAAAGAAAACAGCAGAACGTTCCTAGACGGCATGCCAATCTCAAACAACTCCAGCAATGCCCCTGATTGAAACGTTCAGCACGACGCAAAAGCTCACATGCTATGGTTTTCCTTTGGTTCATACCCTCCACAACAGGACACCCCAGACAAAACATTCACAACATCCATGATGAAGCCCCATATCATATGGAAGTTTCTCGGAAGAACATCACTTAATCCTTGAGAAGGACACCCATCATCAAGTCCTGTTTTCCCCAATATGTCTCACGGGTCTCTATGGGCACCCCACCTACCGAGCGACCTCCGATACTTTCCATATATACACCCAATAAGTCCCATAGATACCCGGTGCATAGACTCAGCCATGTTCCTGACTAAGCCCATCAACACTCACCAGCACCAATCTGCTTCGAACCGAACATCCCTGGCATCATCAACTATTTCCAGCAACAATATGGAGCTAGATAAGCGATGTCATTCTAAAGCATTGTGCCACCCTGCAGATTGCAAGCACTACGTTTGGGGTGCTGGGGTGGCTTGTGCAAGCAACGGACGTTTTATGATTAGACTCTGCGGCTGAGTACCTTTGGACTTTTTGGGTTGGATACAGCAGGGATACTTTGTGGTTGGGCACTGCTGGGATAGCTGCTGTTGGGCAATGCTTGGATGCTCTGCTTTTGGCACTGCAGAGATACTCTGTGGTTGGATTCTGCAGGGATACTCTGCATTTGGGACTTGCAGGGATACTCTGCAATTGGGCATGGAGGAGATGCGGCCGGGCACTGTGGCACTGCCAGGCTACTCTGCCATTCGGCGCCGCCCTGAGGGCAAGGAGAACATTCATTGCTTCAAGTCGAAGAATCCCACAAATCCTAAACCCTAAATCCTTAAACCCTAAATCCCAAATCCTAAGCCCTATTCCAACAGTGATCCCAGCAGCGCCACGGCTGCAGGCACTGCCAGGTGCATGGAACCTCGAAGCTCTGAGCCGCTGTTCACCTGGCCTCAGTCGGAAGGTTCGCTTCTGTTACAGCGGTTTGTAGGCGGTTTGGGGTTGGGATTTAAGGGTTCATGGTTTATAGGGACAATTTAATTAAGGTTTAGCACTATAAGGTTCAGGGGTCTAGGGTTCAGGAACTAAGGCTTAGGATGCGGTAGGCGGTAGGTGTACGTTACTCCAAAACTAGGCATACCAGCGAAGAATGGAGCATCAAATGGAAAAGCACATCGAAATTAAACGGAAACTGGGATGATGTAGGGCTCTAGGCTTGAAAAGGCTGGGCAAACATATTTTGAAAGACGTGCGTTGTGCTACTGGCATAAGAGACTATAAGCTATTGCGCGGTCATTGTTTTTCTATACCTGGCCTCTGTTTGAGGCCCTTTTCCTGTATTTCAAACGGGAAAAGTGACTGAGCCCAGCCTCTGTCAGAAGGTTCGGACTTTCGGACTTTCGGGGTTGATATTAGGGTTGAGACTTGCTTTAGCTGATTGGTTTTAGGTTAAGGGCTCACTCAGGGGTGACAAGGGTTCAAGTCCAGGTCCACTGGATCAGGGCTGAAGTATTTAAGGTCGAAAGGCATTCAATTACATTGAATATATAAGTGCTTCTCCAGCTGTGCTTGTTCGGTGTTGATTGTCCAACTAACAAAGGCAAGGTCCTAGCCCCGAAATGAGCATCACGTGGGGTGACGCGACCGTCATTGAGCGTAACTGCCGTCCAAGTCCTTGCGATTCCTGGTGCAGCTAAGCTCCCACACCCTAGCTTGACTCCGCATAAAGCCCGAAAAGAACCTCAGCAAAGCCAACTGCACCTATACCATGAAGCAATTACGGCCCGGAAAGCAAACAACGTGTATGAGCCGTAACAAAACCGTCAAGAACACAAATATGAAGCTGCATATTTGTTGACTGAGCTGGTATGGGGTTCTGTCACAAGACGCTGAAGAGCTAAAGTTGCCTCGTCTTGTATTCACATATTGACCTTAGGTACTTGCCGAAAGCCAGGATTCAAAGTAATTCATGATCCATCGCGCTACATCTTGGGTCCCCATCCCTGCATCTGCCACACTTGTGGGTGAGTAAGTCACCTAAACGTCTGAGAGCACAACATGGAGACCCTGATAGTTGCAACAACTACACTGTCCTTGCAGCAGCACGCAAGCGTCTGCCATGGTAATACAAAACATCTTGCTTGTGCTTTTTTTGCTAGGATGGCGATGTTCACGCCGACCTATCCTCTTAAGAGTAGTACAAGTCATGCTACTAGTTACCAGAAAGTGAGAGTTCGCCATTTTCAACAGGAGACGCACAATTGTTGCTTACCTCGTATCCGATCGCAACGTGCGAAGATCGAGATTTCACACTTGTCTTGCTTCTATTCCTTCTCCTGATGCTAATCCACGTCCTTCTCCTCCTGCCCTACAGCTGCTCGTCCTATACTACTACCAGTCCTGCTCCTCCTCCTTCTGACCTGCTTAACTGCTTAACCTTGTGCAGGCGGCGCTTTTTCCGATTTCCTCAGAGCATGTAATATTCTTCAACAAATATTGGCCTATGGAATTTCACACATTGCCGAGTGTTTGTGCTTCAGTCCCGCAAAAGACGCGTCCCTGGTAGCGGTCCCAGGTAGCATCGGCCACCTCACCCTCCAGCCTTGGGCGACTGCCTATGCAGAGCGGATGGGCATCAGAAAGTTCTTCAGGTACGGCAACCACCAACTGATCCAAACGCCTCTCACGAGCTGTCTGTGCCTCCTTCGCCCACTCCTCGCTGCGCCGCTGGCGGTCAAAGAGGGCCTGATCAAACCTTGGCGGTGGCCTGCGTTCTAACCCTGTCATACCTGCCATGATCAGCTGCTCCATGTCCATGAGAACTTCCTGCACCAAATACGTCAGCTCGATGTCCGGGCCGAAGGCGTTGAACACATCCACAGAAATCAGTGGTGTAGAGCCCCGCTCCCTGAGAACACGAGCTCCATGCATCAGCTGAACGGCATGCCCTTGACGAATCGCACCTGTCGCCTCCCGCACACGCCGGCAAAAGGCCGAGAAAGTCTCCCGGAGAGGGACACCCGTGAGCTCTCTTGTCTCACCCTGCAGGCTTCGGAGTACTACCCTGCAGGTTGCTGCAATCTGAGAGTTGACCACTTCGTTGGCATTAGAGGCATCAGCGGCCATGCGACAAGCAGATGGGCCTCTGCATTAGGTCCTATGCTCCAGCCAAAGTCTTTTCACGGAGGGTTTCTGGTGCCACTCGACCATGGCAACTATGGCTTTGCTAGTTGCAGCTCGCATTGTTCAAGAACTAATTCGTGGCACATACCAAAGTCATGCAAGGTGAAGGAGGGCTTTGTGCTTCATCTGGATGTTCAGGTCAAATCCTCCCCCATGATTTGGGCAAAGATATCTACGGCTACGGAACCGACTGGCCAACCAACAAGTCAGACTCATTCATGACTACTGCTTATAATGCTAGGCCAAGACTACCCTGACCCTCCAAATACACACTCCTGGACCCCAGAGGCTTCATTAAAAAATCACGGCTAGCAGGACTAGCATGCGCACGTGGATCAAAGGACTGAAGACCTCTTAAGATCGGCTCATATTCACAACAGAAAGCCCACACTTGAGTTCTTTAAGATCCGAGCATCAATCCTGTTACTGCAAGGGCACTTGGGAAACTTGTGTTTGCATACACGAGAAGGCATGTACCGGATTTGGGGTTCAGCATTGTTCTGTGGAAGCAGTGATCAGCTGGCTTCTGTAAGGCATCCAGGCAACACTAGAGGGATCCATGAGAAACTACGTATGTGTGCTTGCTTGTATGAGCCTGTTATCGTTGCCGCCATTTTTTTGTGCTCAGGACCAAGATTCTGCTGAGTGACCCTGCAAAACGGGTCAATGCAGGAAACTTACCATTGATCATCGTTTTCAGAACCTTCAAGACAGAGCCCCAAATCCAAAATCATATCATCTTTGCGTCCATGCACGTATGTGCACATGCACATGAGGTTTTCTTGAAACAGGGGTGCTCAAGGGTCCCAGGAATAAAACTAGAGGGGACCCATTCTAAGGATTATGCGGGGCGGTCTTTACCAACTTGGCAAATGAAACCAAAAACACTATTCCTAGGGTCCCTATCAAGGTATCGCAAACTTCTGAAAACCTCATGATTCTTGCGACATCCCTCTTAAGCCCCAAATGGCATACCCAAACAAGTGTTAACTTTCAGCCCCCAAGTCAGACGTTCATCTGGGTGGCGGTAGAGCAGCTGAGGACCTCCATCTGAACCAGCAAGCGCAGTCCAAGCAGTGCTAGGCCTCTTGTAGGGGGGTGTCTCAAATAGGAGTCCTTCACACCCGATTTTAGATGGGTAACAGGGATATATGGCATTTCGACTGTATAATTAGGTTTTACGGTGTCTCGAAGTATGGGTGTTCCGGGGACAGCAGGGACATAAAAGGGGATGCTCAGGACATTACAGGAGTCACCTCTTGGGGACTAAAACGGACCATTTCGCGAACCTCCATAGTTATCTGTTTGGGGAGCCTGTGTAATCGGCCAGTGCATTGCAAAGTGGATTAGTTCCTAAGGAGGTAATCTTAACCCCCTCTTGAAAACTGCGATAGCCAGGGTCGCAGCTATAGGTACCTGGGGTGGTGCCGGATTTCCTCGCATCCACAATAGCATCAGCCATGGTACCTACGAGCATTGCAAGACCAACGATACTAAGCACAAGCTAAGCAAACACCTTATGATAAATTGTCTTCTGTAATGTTGCGCTACTTTTAATCAGGAGACCATATGTTTTTTGTTTTGGCAGTCCCTTATTCAGTTTGAAGACTCTGTTCAATGTGTTTTCGTTTTGGGCCCCCAACCGAATCCAGACCATCCCTTTGAAAGGAATCCCCAGGGCCTCCCCAGTCGCAGTACTGTGGAGCCCTTATTGAAGACGCCGTTTTTTATTTTGCTGCAGGGCCTCTTGTTAATTTTAGAGAGTGCAACATTAGGGATTTTTGTTGCCTCTCTGGCATAGCTATAAACTTTCTCCTGGGCAAAGATGTAAGGTTTGGGCTCAGGGGTAATTGATTCAGGATGAGGGCCAAGTGGCAGGCCGTAGTGGTAAGGGGCTTGACAATCTATGGAAACGTTACGCGTGTTTCAGGTTTAACCGGGACCCGCGAAAGGCACAAACACACAACCAGCGCGGAAAAAGCACGCGCATCAACAACACCCACAACAACACGAGCGGCGCCAAAGAAAAACACAATCCGCGAAAACACACACACACACACAAAAA